CAAAAATTTGCTAATTCGCAATCATTTGTCTCAGTTCTGAGGATGTGTTGGTAATAGTGTACCAGCACATCCTCAGAACTGAGATTCTCTCAAGCAAAACAATAATGTACCTGTTCAGATCGACAAGATTCCCGTCCTTTTCCCAAGTGACAGCTGGTAATGGCTGACCTGAGAACACGCACTTCATCTGGATGTTCTCGTTAACCTGAGATTATCAGTAGTGAGTGGAAGGAGAAATGCTTTCTGTGATTACAAAATACCTTCGTATAAATTTGAGGTGGCATTTTCAGCACAAAATTCGGTGCTTGTCCTGCCGCTGAAGATGTACTCATCTCAGAATAACTTTCTTCCGATGGCGAAGCAGACAAGGGAACAGAGGATGGTCTTTCAACATCTTCCTAGAAATATTGTGTAATTAAATTGAGTACAATAAATCAGAAATGCTTTCAAATACCATAAAAAATAATCTCGAACACTTTATATAAATAGTGTATAAGACTCAAAAATAATTCGACGGAAATTGTTTTGTTACTGGTACTGTGTATGGTTCATTTTTGCGTAAAATAAAGCTACAGAAACTTTGACGTGGAATTGGCAGTCGCTGAAGCTCTTTGGTTCAACTTTATCAAAACACTAACTAACCTATAACATGAAACTACCGTAAATTTCACTTAAGTTCGATTAAACTTCATCAAATCTGCCAGTATCAAAATTTGTTCCAGTTTTGAAGACGGTCTGATTGATCTTCTACTTTACTAGAACAACATATGCATTTTTACATCATATGAGCCTACGAAAGGCAACAGTTCAGATCCTCTTCCATCAAATCTCCCTAAATTGCCAGTATTAAGTTTTTTTCTTTGAAATCCACTTTGTTTACTAGCATTTTTCAACTGTAAAATATTAATGTGTTACGGTTTCGTATATGTCAAAAATCCTCCAAAAACGGGAAAAGTATGGAAATGAAGACTCTTCAAACACACGCTTTTTCGGATTGAGAAATCGTTGAATTGCGAAGATACACGAGATTAGCTCAAGTTCATTTCATAATAAACATGCCTATGCTAAACCTAAATGTAAATAGAGGTGGAAAATTACTAACCTATGGATGCCATAAGATTCATGACTTAACTCTGTACTCTTCTTTTTTAGAATTTCTATATTTACGTGCACGCAATTTTGCATACAATCCTGCTATTTATCTGTCCTGT